ATTTCAAGTGTATTCAGTTTTAAACTGCAGTAAATTATTGGCATATTTATAGGGCGTTAAATATTATTAGGTGCAATGGGTACAGCTACCCCAATTAGATAAAAAATGAGCAACCTGGCTTTGTTTTGCAGTTAATTGAGTTACATTTTCCAATATCTAATTGATTGTGAATTGAAAGTCCTTAAATTTTTCATCTTGCCCCACTATCAGGGCAAGATGAAAAATTTAAGGACTTTTTTATTTTGTTTATTTGGGTATGTTTTTATTGTAATTAACTAAATACCTTGGCGAATATTAAAAGATTAGGGTATCAAATACATACTGACAAAATATTAGTGAGCTATGACTGGTAGTCTTGCAGGAAACAAAGATTTTCGAAACGTTCGCCATGTTGCCCCGTCTTCCCCTACATATATTGCAAGGTTTTGAAGGTTTGCTTTTTTCTTCATATGGTGCTTGGATCCATTTTCAATTAAAATTTTTTATCCTGGCTTCCGTTGGATACCAGATTTTGTTTACTGTTTTTGAAAAAGCGTTTTATTCTAAAGGTTTTACAATTATATCATTGTGCCATAACTCAGGGTTAAATATCTTTATTTTTTTCGAACTGTTTATTGTAACTCGAAACTATCTATTATACTCGTTTATTTTGTTTATGGCAACTAACAATGGCATAATGTCCATATCACTTATCTTATAGTTTTTAAAATCTTCGATTGGATATGCCTCCCACAAAGTCATCAAATTTACGTAGAATTTATAATTTTTACTAATTAAAATAAAGTTTTCGTTTTTATTCCGTTCAATACTCATTTCCAGTTTTTTGTCATATTACATGAAAAAAATTTTCTGAAGTTATTGCGGTTGATTGCGTTTGAGCCACAACGTTGGCAAATGTATTTTAAAAAAATGATGTTTGTTTATTTTTTCAATACAACATTTTTTGGATTTGAGGAATGAGAATTGAATTTTTAACAATAGGTTTATAATTGTTGCGGTTTACAATTACTTGCGTAAAATATCAATGTGCGTCACGCACATTGATATTTTACATTTTACATTGATATATATATATATATATACATATATATATATATATATATATATATATATATATATATATATATATATATATATATATATATATATATATATATATATATATATATATATATATATATATATATATATATATATATATATATATATATTTATATATTACATGGATTTGGTCGAGGTTGTCACGGGATTGTAATGTTATCACCCCAATATAAATAGTAGAAGCTGTGAATTGTTCTGAAAGCGTAAACATTAGAAAGATCTTTAAAAAAATGTTTAAATTATTTTTTTGCATTCGAGTTAAATTAATAATGTAAACATTTTTACGCTGTTTTTTATTTCTAAGTACCTAATTAGGCTTCACTAAATGATAAATTATCGTTAATTAGTAAGTAACTCTTTTAATAAAATGTTTTAAGCATTGTTTCATTGTATATTTATAATGTTTGTACTTTTATAAGCATTTGTTTTCTATGTTTAAACATATAAAAGATGTAGAAAATGCTTCTTCTTTTATATTGACATCTAAAAGAGGTTTTTTTCAGAAATAGCTTTTTGTCATACTTTGTATAAATAGCTATTATCATTTTCATTTAATGAAAACAACTTTTTATATATGAAAAACAGGAATGCTATAGTGCATAGGATACTATAGTATACTAATAAGTATGACAAAAAAGTCTTTCCGACGCCGAGAAAAAAACTTTTTTAGATGAGCATAGTTGATTAACAAAAACGTCTTAAAGACGCATTTTTAATGTTTTTTTATAACAAGATTAGGATTAAAAAAGACGCCTTTTCAATGTCGAAAAAATATGTCTTTTAGATTTTCATAATCGACTAAAAAAAGGCGTTTTGAAGACGCATTTTTTATGTGTTTTTATGACAAGATTAAGATAAAAAAAAGACGTCTTTTCGATGTCGAAAAAAGATCTCTTTTAGATTTGCATAATCGACTAAAAAAAGACATCTTAAAGACATCCTAGTTAAGACTTTTAAAGACGTCTTTTCGAAGTATTATCTATTATTCTTTTTCTTAATGACAGCAAAGCTTCGGGACCTAACAGCATTTCAATACCTGTTTTTAAAACTCTTGCAAATAATATCTCTTCTGTACTTTCTGAACTATCGGGTGGACACGGAAAAATCCGGAAAAATCAAAAAAATCAAGTTGAGATTTCTCTAAAACCATAAATGCTTTTTATTTCAATTTTTTATTATTAAATGTGTTTACATAAATTAGAGTTTGAACTTAATTTTAAGGGGCTTGATGGGTTGTTTCGCAAAAAGTCGAACTTTATAGCGGGTTGATGCCATCAATTCACAGATTTTTTCTTTTTTCACCATATTGGTTGCATTAATCCACTATTTTTGGTAGTCTTTTTTATTATTTGTTACTCCACCTGTCTTACGAAAAACTCCTTTAACTATTGCCCAAAAATCTCCAATCTTGCGCTCTTCAGGACGATTTAGAGGATTCGCATCTTTAGAAACAATTTTCACATTATTATTTTTGCACCACTGTAGAACCATTTTAGGATAGTGAGAGGTAGCAAAATTGGGCCAAAAGAGACATCGGTATTTGTGTTTTTTTATAAAAGGCAAAAGTCTTTTCTGGAAGTATTCTTTGATGTAGAGATTGGCAGTCAAGGTCTTTTTAGTGACAAAACAAGAGGACTGCATATCACAGCTACAAATTGCTTGCCACACAAGAAACTTAGATAGAAATTTTTCTCGTCAAATATATTTAAATAAATCATCAATAGGTTTATCTTGTGAAAAATCCGCCTTGCAATACGTTTTGTTGTCTTCAATTATGCACATATTTTTATCCGCCATTATTTTAACCAATTTCTTTGCGAGTCGAATTCCTTTAGTTTCACAATTTAAGCTTCTCTTAGGTGTATTTTTTTATGAAATGTTTTAATTCCAGCATTTTAAAGTATTTTTTTGATATAAGTACGAGAAGTCTTAAATTTTCTTGCTAGTTCTCGCTGTGACTGGTTTGGATTTCTTGAAATTGAACGTAAAATCGATTTCACGTTTTTGAATTTGTGGAAAGTTTTTTTTCTTCCACTTCCATGTTTTCTTTTGAAGCTTGGAGTAGTCTTGAGCTTGTTTATAATATCTATGACTGTAGATTTTGGGATATTTGTGCGTTTAGCAATCAAGCAATAGGAAGTCGATAGATTTTTACAAAAACAATTCACAACTTTTCGCATCTCAATTTGTTTCCAAAACATTTTGCAAATCATTAATTTGTAAAAAAAAATTTATCAACAACATTTAAGATAAGGAAGGTTAAATTAAAAAAAAAATAAATAAAAAACATTTGTGGTTTTGGAGAAATCTCAATTTAAAGTTGACCGGATTTTTTTGTGTCCACCTGATATTTAATCTGTCATTCATTGCCGGTGTAATCCCTGATATTTTAAAAACTGCTTCTATTATTTCAATTCATAAAAAAGACTCAAAACTTGAATGTAATAACTACAGACCAATTTCATTATTATTAAATGTCAGCAAACTTTTAGAAAAACCAATGTGTTCTCGTATTTACACCTTTTTAAATAATTTTTAAATATTCGAAAGTTTGGGTTTTGCTCAAATCACTCCACTTTTCATGCTCTTATTAGCATCACTAAAATGATTTGTGGTGCAATTGACAATGGTTTGTTTGCTTGTGGTGTATTCATAGGTCTTCAAAAACCTTTTGATACGGTTGATCACAACATTCTAATAAAAAAAGTTCAACTACTACGGAGTAAGTGGTATTGCTAATCATTGGTTTTCTTCATATATTAGGGATCGTACTCAGTTTATTTCAATTAATGGATTTGAATCCACACATAAAGTTATTAAATATGACGTTTCACAAATTTAAAAAAAATTTTCTGAACTAAAAGTCCTAAAACTCCATGATCTTGTAAAGTTTTACAATTGTCTTTTTGTGTTTGACTTTCTCCCAAAATAAACTAACAAACTCTTTTTTAAACTTTTTTATTAAAACAAATGAAATTCATAATCATCACACCAGGAATAGAAAAAATAGTAAGCTATACTCTTTTATTTTCAACACAATTAAATATCGTAAGTTTTCCATAAAAGAACAATGTATTTCCGATTGGAACCAGTGTATGCATTAATAAAAAAGTCTTAAAAAAAATATCCCCTTGTTAAGGATTATTTACTGTTTAACAGAATTCAATTTAAAAATATATCGTTGGAGTGTATTTCTTGATAATTTCTCTCTGTACTGTAGTTGTCTTTATTATATAATTTCTTTAACGAACGAGTGGTTTAATTTTTGCTTTATTTGTTATTTATCTATATTATATTTATTTATTATCGCGTTATTATTGCTACTTTAATGTTATTATTATATTTAATTATTATCTATGATATCTACTTACAATTTATATTGTACTATAAATATTCTTAATATTATTGATACTTTATTATTATTGTTATTATTTTGTATTATTACTATAATTATTATATATATCATTATTATTTGTTTAACTAACTTTTCTTTTTTTTTCTCTCTTATATATATACTACTTTTTTTTTTTTTTTTTTTTTTTGCTTTTCGTTTCTTTTTTTTTTATTTATTTATTTTTTATTTATTATTTTTTTATTTCTTTATTTTTTTGAGAATATTTTAGGTGTCACTCCATTGACTAGTTTGTAACTATATGAGTGACACCTAACCAAATTGTAATAACTTACAATGAGATTTGTAAATTTTTATTGATATGGTTGAATAAAAAAAAAAATTAAAAAAAATATAGATATATTTTTGCCGAATAGTAATTTCCGTGTTATATATATATATATATATATATATATATATATATATATATATATATCCATAAAAGCACGGATAATTTATAACAACAACCAAAAAAATGCAGTTATAAAATTTTGTTTTTAAAACTTACCCTCTGGGTTTAAAACTTCTCTTCTAGAGATTTCTGGCCTCGAATTTGTTGTCGAGTTATCCGGATCGGTCGGAACGGCTTCTCCAATATAACCAAAAGGTTCAATACCTATAAGGGATTTAAGCAAAAAAGTAAATCTAGAAAAATAAAAATCTTTCGTTTAAATTACAATAAGCTACTTGGCACCAAATTTCTGGAACAAACATAATTTTAAACAAGACTGTGAATAGGCCTTGATTAATAGTTTTGAAAGTAAAGACAACAGCGATAATTTGCAACTTCAGAACGATCCGATGCTCCGATGCTCACTTCTGCAAAACTATGCTCCGATGAACACTTCTGCAAAACTATGACTGGTATGTAGTCCGAATCACACGCTGTAAAAAGTCTTAGATACAAAAGAAAAAACCTAAGATACAAAAGCCGGAGTGATACGAATGTCAAGCAACCTGTTTGTTGGCAATGTCACGAATATTATGAGTAGTGGAACTAAAAGATGAAATTGATAAAAATTTGTTAGTAAGTAGTTCAGCTTTGTCTTAAAGTAAGGTAATAAAATCTGAACCGTGCGAGAAAGATATCGGATTTTTCTAAACACAAAAAAAGATTCTCTTTATATTAAGTCAGGAGAGCCTTTTTTCTGAAATGATATACTGACTGGGATCAAAAACAAGACTTTAGTCCATTAAAAAGGTAAATGATTAAACGTACCGATAAAATATACGTTACCGTATACTCTACCGTTTTGTTTCCCGATACCATATCAAGTTAGCATTTTTAAACGGCTTTCAGTTGGGTACAAAGGGTGAATGATTTAAATAATGACTTCCGCCTAAAATTCAAAAAAAAAAAAAAAAAATTAAAAAAGACTTGGTGCTGCTGCGGCTCCATGTGATTTCTAATTGGGGCGAAAACACCTTTCTATGTTTTCGCCATAATAGAGTATTCTAATTTCATTCCAATTTTAAAATCAGGCGATCCTTCTGAAGTTGCAAATTATCGTCCAATCTCAATTCTTAAAATTTCTTAATTCTTAAAAACTCAATTCTTAATTCTTAAAATTTCCTAATTCTTAAAAACTCTCAATTCTTAATTCTTAAAAACAATTAAGTTTTTCTAAAATATTAGAGCGAGTTATGTATAATAGGCTTTATTCTTTTTTAAATGTAAATAATATTCTCTACCATAAACAATTTGGATTCAAATCTGGCCATTCCACCGATCATGCAATCATTCACCTTGTTCAGGACATATTTAAATTGTTTGATGAAGGCAAGTATACCCTAGGTCTTTTTACCGATTTAAGTAAAGCTTTCGATACAGTCAATCATCAAATCCTTCTATCGAAACTCAAAAGTTATGGTATAAAAAATACTAACTTGTCCTGGTTCGAGAGTTATTTGACCAATAGGAAGCAGTATATAGTTTATGATGAAGAAAAAACTAATTATGAGACAATTAAATGTGGTGTTCCTTAAGGATCAATTTTAGGGCCTCTATTTCTTGTTTATATAAACGATTTAAATAAATTTTCTAACATTTTAAATACGATTTAATTTGCAGATGATATCAGCTTGTTTTATTCCAATAAAGATATCAATATATTATTCCAAACATTAAACAAAGAGCTAGACAAACTAACCCAATGGTTTAAATCAAACAAGTTATCTTTAAATATTACTAAAACAAAATACACTTTATTCCATCGCCTACATAAAAAAATTAGATATTCCCTTAGAACTTCCAGACCTTTTTATTGACAATCAATTAATAAAGAGAGAGCAATCAATAAAGTTTTTAGGCGTGTTTCTAGACGAAAATGTAACCTGGAGGGAACATATAGGTGTAGTTGAAGATAAAATATCAAAAAATCTAGGTATAATGTACAAAGCAAAGCAGTTATTACATCGATCTTGTTTAAAAAACATTTACTTTTCTATAATTCATTGCTACTTAAGTTATGCGAACATTGCTTGGTGTAGCACTAACGCGACGAAAATAAAAAGTTGCTTAGCAAACAAAAACAGGCTATAAGGATAATTTCAAACGTAGATCGTTTTTCACACACACCAACACTTTTTAATGAACTCAATATCCTAAATGTATATAAACTAAGCCTCTATCAAGTTCTTATTTTCATATTCAAACTTGATAAAAATATATTACCAATCTAATTTTATTCAATTTTTGAAAAAATAAATCACATATACCCTACAAGATTTTCAAAATACAACTACATTCAATCCTAAACTTATTATTCCGCTACTAAATTCTCTATTGTAAACCGAGGACCAAAGTTGTGGAACATAATTTTAAATAATGAAATGAAAACTATTTTTTCTCTAAACCAATTCAAAACAAAACTTAAACAATTACTTTTGTCAACTGAAAATGAATTAAATTTTTTCTAATAAAACTTCTTTATATTAGAAATCAATAATTAATAATTAATTAATTAATTACTTTAGATTATTAATACATAATTAATCAACAATTGTACATATATTTTTATCATTTTAAATGATAATCTTCTTTTTGAGAAATTTATTTTTTATTTTTGCGTAATTTATTAATCTTTTATTTTTATTTTATACTGTTTATTTGCTTTTACTTAATTGGCAATGAAAAGTATTATAAATATAATTAAATAAGTTAAACTTTAAAATGCTCTACCAATAAAATGTTTTTATATAAAATCATATCTTCATATTTTTCAAACCAAGTCTTAAATGTTATTTTTGTCATTTTAATATTTTATTAAATTTTGTTTCTTTTATTTTACAAAACAATTGTTAAATCTTATTCTTTGAAAAAATATAAATTTTAAACGATATGCGATATATTTAAATTTTCTTTTATAATATAAATCAGAGATATATACATTGAAACTATATTTTATTGTTAAACTATATTTTGTCTAGTAATGACGCATTTTTTGGGGCTTAATGATAAGACTAAATTTGTCTTCTTCTAGCCCCGGTCATGTAATTATTTTTTTTATAAGTTACGACTGTAAATTTTTTTTTATCGGCAAAAAAGTAAATAAATAAATTAAAAAAAAAAAAACAATGCCCCTCAATTTTTAATGATCTTTATGAAATAAAACCTAACATTAAATATACTTTACGCACAACAGGCTTAATTGAACCATTGTGCAAAACTAAACAAGAACAATTTAAAATTACGTATCGTGCTCCGCATACATGGAATAAAATCTTAGAAAATAGAGTAATTTACCAGGTGTAAACAAAAAAAATTGCTTTCAAAAACTAATAAAAAAGAATATTTCAAAGTATACAAATCTTATTGATGATTTCTTTTAAACTGCTTTGTTTTTTTTGTTTGTTTGTTTTTTTGTTTTTGTCTTTTTACATTGAAAAGTTTTTGGTTTTAACACTATTTACCTTAGTTAATTAAGTTTTGATTTTAACACTATTTAGGAATTTAATATTGTAAAGACATAATTACAACGGTTCTTGATGATAAGACTTAATGGTCTTCTGCAAGTTTCCCGCGTTTTTATTTTTTTTTTGTATAACTAACTCTTATTATTTTGCCTTTGATTTTTTATATTTACAACTGGTTTAGTTTTGAAAGAATAAGAGTATCTGGTATTTTATTACGGAGTTTAATTGTAACAAAAACGGAAAATTAAGTAAAAAAAAAGTTTTAATACACATGATGTTAAGATGTTTTAATACACATGACGCCACATTTTCAGGCAATATAATATCCTTGATAGTCGGATATAGAAATTCAGACAAATATATACCAGAAGCGAAGTTATATATAAAAAAGTATTATTTGCAAGATAATTCATTAAAAATTATGAGGCTTTTACACAACTAAAGAGTAAATATAGTCAAAGGTAACAGACAAAATGCAATTATTAAAATAAAGTTAAGAAACAATTAGAACATTTACTTTATGTGTTTTATGAAAACTTCAAAATTTAAACACTGTATTTTAGATTGTGGGTTTTTGTTAACTAAAAAAAATGACTTATATATCTTTTTTTAATAATTTTGTTTGAGGCGCCCTAAGAAATCTTTACGGCTTGTCACAAAGCACTGCGGAGGAATATTTAAAAAGAAGTTCACGCCTCCTTCCTAACCGATATTGAAAAACTTAATTTCTGAAATTAAAATAACTGCGGTACATGTGTTTGAGGCAAGAGCGCAAAGATAATTTCATTATTTTTTAATATATAAAAAATTATTTTTGCATATAAAATTATAGACGTAATAAGTATTACATTAAGTATCAAGTATTACATCTAAAATAATATGCGTTTATAACATCTCGGCAAAGCAGTCAAGAAGATGTCTTAAAGACATCTTCATATAGACGTCTGGCATCTTTATAAACGTCTTTTAGCCTTCTGATCAGGGCGTCTTTGAATGCGTCTCTCAAACGACTTTTTAAATTTTAATAAAGACGTCTTTCAAACGTTATTTTAAAAGCGCATTTATAAAAGACGCCTAAAAGATGTCTTTATAAAAAGTGCATTTTTAAAGTCATATAAAAGATGTCTTAAAAATGTTTTTAAAAATCTGTCTTTATCTAGACTAGTTTTAGACGTCTACAAACGTCTAGAGTGCATCTTGTGCTTGCTGGGAAAGGAGGTTGTCACACCGGGCTCAAAAAAAAAGTCTTTTGGGACACCAAAGAAAACAAGAAAGAGCAAATAAAAAGATCTTTTTATATATAAGTAGTAGTATTTTTATTTTATATAGTAATTAGTCAACTATTATACTATTTTGGCCATTACCACAGCCATTTAAAACAGACATAAATGACCACTTTTCTATCTACGTTAAAATTAATAACCTTGATATAAATTTGACTACGCGTCTAAAAACAATTAATTTAAAAAAACGCAATCTATCAACGTTAAATAACAATAACTTCTCGCAAACTCTTTACGAAGAGAAATGGAAAAAAGTCTATTTATGTCAAAATACTAACAAAGCATACAATGCCTTTTTCAATAAATTTTTAAATATATTTAATGAAACTTTCAACTTTAATAAAACTTTAATGAAATTTTCAATAAATGAAGGTGTATTTCCTGATACATTGAAAGTAGCTAAAGTGTACCCAATCTA